AAATCCCAGGTCTGACATTATGAATTGTATAATTTAGAGGAAGTTATTAATAGCTATGTACCTCAGTTACCTTATCTGTAAAGTGGGAATAATAATATTATGTTTCAGGGTTTTGAGAATTAAGTTGATAGAAATAAAACCCTTAGAATGGTGCTTGGAACATAAGAGCTCARTAAATGTTAGCTAATATTTCTGTTATCATCGTTAGCTTCACCCTCCTGTGTAAACTCCAGAAACCAGACTGGGAGAAAGTCTGGGGGTTTCTTTTTCTTTTCTTCCTCTAAGCTTGCTGGCAGTTCATTCTCCCTACAATGGAATGATAAAATGTCCCGTGTGTAGATAATAAGAGAATTAGAGGAGCTTATGTTCTCTACAGAAAATTCGAAACAATGAAGTAATTTTCTTTAGAGGTGTTCTTACTAGACTCTTCTACCTTCAGATTCGCTTACCTTTGTCTATCATCATTCCAAACATTAGCTGAAAATAGGTCAGAGTAGAAATTAGCCTGTTTATTTAGTATAATAATAAAGGGTGTATGAAGAGGTACTAAATTAGTTTGAAAATTATTAGCTAAGATGTCAGTGTTTGTGTATAAAAGCAGATTATTAGGAAATTAGTGGCATTGGAAAAGAAAAAAAGGGTTTTTGCAAAAGGAATCCTTTGGGAGCCTAGGCAGGTCTTCCAAGTAGGAGACGAGTTGAGAAGTCAGTAATTCAGGCAGCCAGTATGGTTAAGAGTTGCTTCCTGCCCAGTACCATGTGTTCYTGGGGGCTGGRCATTTTTAACAGTTCACAGTTTCTRGTTCCAWCTCAGAGGGTTCAGCTTAGTGTGTCAGTGGATGAAGSTTTCACTGGTTTTCTTATGGGAGGGATTAAGCTAAATCATACCTTTCTGGTTTGCCAAGGCCAAACTAAAGTGACAAATATATATTAAACTATAAAGAAGATCAGTTGCTTTAGGAGTGGGCAGCAGTGTAATGATTGYAACTCAGAATGTATCTGAGTACTTGTATGTACTAGGAGGGTTTTAACTTTGCATCACATGAAAGTAGAGTACCTGCCTTATCAGAGCTACTCGAGGTCTAGAGTCCTGAGGCTGATTCGGTTCCTTAAAGCATTTAGCAGCTTTGTGCATGACTGTCTCACTTTTTAGGACACTAGAGAGCARTAGAAGGCAGTGTAGGCTAAAGGTGAGAATGTGGAGTTGGATCCAAGATGAGAACAACGTGGGTGAATCATGGCATTCCAAATACCTTTCTTCATGCTGTGCACACTCTGCAGTTGCTATGATACTTTATCAACTCTTCTCCCTCAGATTTTAACCATTTGRTGCTCTGCTTTTTGCCTTTAGAAACAAGGCTTCTCCGTTCAGAATCATCTCTCCTAAATGGAGACACTGATGAGTGCACTCTATATGATGAATACTCTGAGCTTACTGAAGCCCAGAATTCAGAAAAGCAGCAGTAATCATGAAAGCTCACTTTGCAATGTTGGGGCCAGATTGGGAAGCTTGGGAGGAAAGTTCACTTTTGTCATAATTGTGTCAAAGCCATAGTGAYCCATCCAAGCTTCTTGAGGCTCCTGAAAGGAAGAAGGCTCTCCATGGTGCACTTAGCTACATTCTCTGCCTGTCCTCTGTTGWTTGATGCTAGCCTTTGAGCAGGACTTGCACCTGGACTTTGTAGACTCTCTGACTTAGAGGTGGTGCATGTGATTACACGAGAGAAAGGGAGGGATGTTGACGCGCTTCTTCTCTCTCCTCTTTCCATGCAGCACACACACCACAGATGAGGAGCAAATTGGGTCACTTTCCATGTAAGCACTGTTTCCTTTCCAAGCCTTTGAGCTGTGRGAAGAGCTGTGATTTTTTAGGACAATTGGACAATTAATCCAGACTGTTGTACATCAGGGCCTCCCTATCCAAGCCCAGGTCTGTCTTGAGGGCTGACTCCTGCTGTCCTGCTTCCCTTTCCTGAGTCTTCCTGTTGCATTTCCTCCCAGCCTCCTCCTGTCTTGCAGAGCTCACTGTGCTGAGCTCTTTTTATAGCACTCACCACAATCTGCTCCTGCATCAGATTAAATGGTGTCTATTTCTCCCTTATTTAGGACTTCTGGAGCAAGAGCCTTGCCTTTTTTCCCCCTTGAATATTGTTCTCCAGTGCCTATCAGTAGGTTTGGGGCTACCTTTGTGGGGGTRTAGTCCACATTTATTAAGTGTTGTGTTAATTGCAAAGGATTATTTATAAATGTGAATTTATCACAATCCCTGAATCATAAGATTGTGCTTATGTAGTTAGTCTACAATAGCCAGTTGTTCTTTATCATCTGTTAGATTGCCACATAGGTTCTTAGTAAATGATTCTTGAACTAATAGATATTTAGTAATTATGTGCATTTCTCAAATCGCATTTAAAATAATGTAGTGAGAGCATAAGAAAAGACTACCAGAAAGGAAAATCTAGGATAAAAAGAAAGATTGACCCATTAAAGACATTCTTGTTGCCTTTAAATATGTATTAAATTGCATAAAAGTGTAGAAAATTTTTTAATCAGGAACAAATTTATTCATTTCATAATCAATGAGAAGAGGATAGCTAAAATTTTAATATGCAATAATGTCATCTTATTTAGATTTATTTTACAAAATATTCTGGATTGATTGTTGATTTTTCAATTGAAAGTAAGACTTGAGGTGTACTATTACTAAAAGTACAAATTTATTAAACTGGTGCTTTAATTATAATTTATTATTAATAATTTCCAAAAATGTTTCCTCAAGCAATAATAAATTGCTGAATGGGCCTCTTTTAAAACTTAAATCAAAATTTATTTTTTTTTCAATTTTAATTCTTGTGCAGTTTGGATGTTATCTACATACTTAAGATAAAGATGGTTATTATTTTTTAATATTTGGAGCTCAAACTGTTCTCATATAGACACTAGTGTGTTTGTTCACTAAGTAAATATTTGAGAGCATTCTGTATGGAAAAGGAAAGAGAGATTCCCACCTGCCTGAGGCAACCTCAGGTCAGTTGTATGGCTGAAGTTTTTGTGTTGTTAAGTGTAGCATGGTACCTGACTAATGGTCAGGAAAGGCCTGACACGTAAAGCAGCATAAGCTGCCCATAAGCTCTGTCAGTGCAGGTGGAGTGCAAGCCAGGGGAACTCAAGTACAGCATCTCAATGGTGTGACAATCCCCCCAGAGGGAGAGTGTCCAAGGGGAGGGAGGGGCAACCTAGCAARAGCTGGAACTCAGGAAAGACTTCAGATGATGGGCTCAAGGTCAGCTATGAGTGGCAGGTTCTCAGATATGTGCTGGAGGGAGTGGCATTCTGGTCCAGCAAAAATGGCAGGCTACTTAGATGTGCAAAAGCCTTGGGTTTTATTCTTTTTCCTATAATACAAAATATGAAGGGTTTTGTGGCATTAGACAAGGRTGAAAAAGGTCACCAAAGCCTGGGATGCTGTGCACAGGACAGGACGTGCCCTTTCTTATTTTAGTGCTGGAGTGGAGCCCGGTGGTCTTGGAGTTCATCGCCTTCACTCCCACTGTTTCCTCTCCTGTATTCTCTCACTCATTCCTACTTGGACAAGCGAGAAATCTAGGTATTTTCCTTATCTGTTTTTTTTTTGTTTTTTTTGTTTTTTGTTTTTTTGTCATGTCCCAGATTTGACCTATCACTATCATCAGGCTACTTCTACATCTCTCTCTAATCCCTGCACATCTCTTGGTCATCAGTGCCCTGGTTCTGGTTTGCACACTGTTATCAGTCTCCTGTGTGGTCCTCCATCCCTGCATCCTTCCCTCTCCAGCCTGTTCTCATGCTCCAGCCAGAGAAAATTCTAAATGCAAATCTCAAACATACTGTTTCCTGCTTGATTGTGGCCTGCCTTTGGCCTGCCTAGCTCCTTGGCCTGACTTTCAGGCCCCTTCTGCTAAGTCTTCAGCTAGGATTCTCATGTGGTATGGTAGACATTGCTTCTGCCATGCTGAGCTCTGTTCTTCACCTGAACCCCACTCTGGCAGCTCTCACCCCATCATCTCAAGACCTGCTGAAATACCCTACCTTCCCTCTGCTTGACCCTCAGCCCTGTCCTTGGGATTAGTGCTTATAGAAAGTGTTTCCTGGTTTCCAAATCTAAATCTAGAGCCCTTGTTATGTGGACCTATCCTACCCAGTATTTACCCAGTTGTGACATTTACTGAATAGCATTGTAATCACTTGCTCAGTTATACCTTTCCTATAATAGGCTAAGAGTCCTGTGACAACAGAAACCAAATGTAGCTTCTTTGCCATTTTATTCCTGGCCTCTAGCACAGAGCCTGACATGCCACAGGTATTTATTGACGATTTGATCAATGTAAAGTACTTATTCCAATGTCCAGCACATTGTAGATAATAAATAATGGTAGTTTTATTGCTTATTATCATGTACAACAGCTGCAACTATTATTCTCTATATAGGCAATAATATCAAATATACAAATAGGTCATGAGAAAGACCTGGATGTGACAATGGATGTGAAAAATTAGAAAGTTATAGTTCTTTATTCATAAACTCTCTAAGACTTGGTGAGAGCAGAAGGCAGTTTATCATGATTTGAAGAGTAGCTACAAGGAGAAGAAGTGGAGACCAAGCAATTTGTAAAATGTTTTCTGGACATGAGAGTCTATCCACAGGGTAGTAGTTAGAGAGGCAGTGGGATCAGAGGAATATGTTTTTAGATGAAGAGAAAATGCTGTGCATGTTCCTGGGCGAAGGAGAAAGCCCAACAGAGAAACAGGTGTGGAGTTGGATCTGACCTCCAGGTAGAAGGACTAGTTTCACCCCAGGCACCTTTCATGATAGAGAAATGATGAGCAGAGAGGTAGGAATGTGTGCATGGTTCTGGAGAAAGGAGAAAAGTGACATTGATAAAAAGCAGATTGAATTTTGTTGTCTAAAAGGTATTTTTTTAAGCAAATCCATTACATTCTTTCATCTTTTTTTTCTTTCAGCTGCTCGGGGGTCTCGTCTGGATTTTGGTGGCCTCCTCCAATGTTCCTCTACCTCTGCTACAAGGATGGGTCATGTTTGTGTCCGTGACAGCTTTTTTCTTTTCTCTTCTCTTCCTGGGTGTGTTCCTCTCTGGCATGGTCAATCAAATTGATGCCAACTGGAACTTCCTGGTAAGGAGTTTYTATTTTAAATCTCTTGCAAGAAAATGTAAGAGACTGATTGATATCTCATTCTGTTTGGAAATGCCTGAGTCTGTCTTCTGTTTGTTACCATCTTTAGGAGAGAATGGGTTCAGGCCATGGGTGCTGCTAAGGTGCCTGCTGCTTGCCTTRATGGACAGCAGAGTCCCAGTTTGTGAAATTCCCATTTAGTGGAGCTGAGAAATCATTCTATTTCTCCTTTATGGCTCATAAATGAAACAGGGTTTCATTTCATGCAACAAATGAGTTTCATTATAATTATTGAACAATTGAACAGATGCATTTTGAGAACCAAACGTTTTCACATGTTTCTTGAAATTTTCCATTGATTTCTGTTTCATATATTTCAATATATACAGTGGTCCCTCAGTATTCTAGGGGGATTGGTTGCAGGCCCACCATCAGGATACTAAAATCTATGCATGTTCAAGTTCTTTATATAAAACGGCACAATATTTGCATATTGCCTATGCATATTTTCCTGCATATTTTGCCATCTGTAGATAACTTATAGTACAAGAATTAGTAAGGTATAAAAAAAGTTTACRATCACATTTTTTAAAATCATGACACCATTAAGTTGTACCAAATTACTTTGTTCTCCTGTGTCAGAGATGTTTTCATGATTGTGTCACTCATTCTCTGGGACTTATTTTAGGAAGACCCAGTGCAGCCTGATTTCAATCCATGGTGCCAGAGCTATCATGAAATTCATGTAGAGCCCCAGGAAATTTCGATCACACTTTTTTAAGTTTTAAAACTTACAGTCAGACCTTCAATCAGGCTTTATATATGTTCTTTCCAAGTATAATAACGTTTTGCTCAGCAGCTCTAGGACAGATGTTATAGGAAAATATCCCCTGTTTAATTTATAGAGCATGAGGAGTTTCAGCAGCTCCTTTATGACTCATAAATGAAACAGGTTTTCATTTCATGCAACAAATGAATTTTATTACAATTATTAAACAATTGAACAGATACATTTGAGAACCAAATGTTTTCACATGCATTTTTCACATGCATTCACATTTTTCACATGCATTCACATGGTGAATGTGACTGCTTGTTCATCCCAGGGGCAGTGGGTGCAAGGATTGCAGTCCTTCACAGCCTTTGAGCTTGGGTCTGGTTTGCTTAAGAGCTATGTAACCATGGGCAAAATAGTTAACATCTCTAAATTTTAATTTCTTTTTCTAAAGTGGTCATAATAATACATCTGACCAGAGGCTATTAAAGAATAATGGAAGTAATGAATTACATAGTGTTTCCTTCTGTCTGGATTACAGCAAGCAGTCAATAATTCTAATTCCTTAAACACACTGAGGCTTACAGTTTGGAATTTTGAAAGTCCTTCCATTTCCATTAAATTGCTAATGTAATCTATTTCTACATTTTTGCCCTAATTTCTCATTATTAATGAGAAAATATTTCTAATAGTCATGAGATAAAGATCTAAAGTCCCAATCAGATCGAAGATAGAAGCTTATTCTTCTGTCTGTAAACACCTGGTTTTTCCATAATAAGTATAAGAATGAATCAATCTCCAATTTCGCCACCGGGTTCTTTAAGTATCACACTCATAGATATTAGGCCAGTTTCTTCTTCTGTAGTGCTATTGGTACTATTAATAGTCACTGTCCCAACCCATTTGCCTCTTCCCAAATGCTCCACCCACCATTCTGACACTTCCCTGGACCTTTCTGGATTCCCTAATTGCCCAGTGTCTATAGGAACCTGCAGTGGCCAGCATTCTAATTGTCTTTCTAATTGGTTGATTAACATTACTTAATAAAGGTTAAATATCTTGAAAGTATAATTCCTGGTCTTATTAGATATATATCTCTATAGTCTTTTTTTCCTTTTGCTTGTATGAAGTCTTATCTTTGGTATTGAGTACAATCATGCATTTGGTAACTTTTTATTTTTCCTAAACCTGTATTTTCTGCCCATTTGTATGTAGCGTTATATCTGAGGTTCAGAAAATAAAATGTAAGAGTTTTTGCTATATTAAGTAAACCACTATATGAAAGTGACAATTGAAATTGGAAAGATCTATCAGTTTGTGCCATAGGACGCCTGCCAAGTTTATCCTGTTTTTTTTTAGTTGGAATAGTCCACTCTTACTGAAGCAGAAAATTGAACAGGTTGAGGATCTTTTATCCAAAAGGCTTGGGACCAAAAATATTTCAGATTTTGGGGCCCTTTGAATTTTGGAATATTTGTATATTGAAATGTTTACTGCTCAAAATGTTTCAGATTTTGGAGTATTTCAGATGTCAGATTATCAAGTTAGGGATGTTCCACTTACAATAGCCACACACACCACATGGTACAGTAGATGTCGTGGTTTAGGGCTTGTCACATGGTAGACATGCTTTTCAAGGAGACCCTGACTCAAAATAAAATTAAAAAGGGATGTAGATGTGGCTCCATACAGAGCAGTTGCCTCACAAGTTGAGGTCACTCCTTGTTTGTTTTCCTCTTAGGCATTTTTCTTCTTTCTCATTCATTTTTTATCACATTGCTGGCTTTTGGAAGGTTTCTTATTACATCTTGTACACACTCAGCCAGGAAAATTTTCGAGCCATACTTATCATGCAGTCAGCACCAGATGGTAACAATTTTTAATTGCTACATTCTGGAAATGTTAAAGATTAATTGCTCAAAAATAATTTTTTTCTCTTGTGATAATATTTTAATTCTAACTGTATAACTTGCATTTTAATAAATAATTTACTTCCTATCAGTGTTTGTTATATGACACTGTCTACCATATTCCTTCTTATTGATCATGCAATTAAATTCGAATTCATAGTACTAGATATGTTCAGTATTTTTCTCAAGCTTTCTAACCTTAGCATAATTGTTGACATGAAAGTACAATATGTAATAACATATATTAAAATCTAAAAACTTGCCCTATTCTAATCCAGGGAAGAGAAGATTTTGTTTTGAAACAGTTTGTTGGGTTCTTGTTTTTAGTTTTGTTTGGTGGAAAGGTGTTAATACCATTGTTAGCCTTACTTTAAAGAAGAAACTCCATATTTATATCCTCCTTTTCTTAGGGAGGTGATGTTCTTATTTTTAGAAAATTGAAAGGAATTATTTTAAAATCCTGTATAGTTAAACATGCTTCCCAATATTCCTTCTAAGTAAAACTGGCACACATTTGATCAATTTCCAATATATTATAAACATTGTCATTTAACAACTTAAATGTCCTGAGCCAGTTTTCTGCCCCACATCCATTTACTTATTTGACTTTTAGGACAGCTCTTTATAGATAGCAAGTATCACTGTCTTCATTTGTACAGGTGAGAAACTTAAGTTCACAGTGACTGCTGTTTCTTTTCATGCTGATCTTCTGTAACCAGGATTCCCAAATATATGATGCTGCTGTTTTTATTTTATCAACTAGTTAGTGAAGGTTTGACCCTGGACAGAAGCACCTAGCATGGGCTGAAGACAGGAATGTGGGAGAGAGTCACTTGTTGCTGAAAAGATCCAAGCTGTGTTTAAAGCTCAGATTGTCTAAGACAAACGTGATGATAAGAGGGCTGTGTTTAGGGTGTGTGAGCACTGAGAAGATTGGCAGAGAGGAGGCCATGTGAAGGAAACTCAGAGAGGGACTAGGGTCATCTACTAACGAGGGCACACAAACAGTAGGCCCTGACCAGAGCAGCAGCAGCAGCTGGAAACTTGCCTGAAATCACATCCTCAGATTCTACCCAGACCTGCCAAGTCAGAAACTCTGGGGGTAGAGCCCACTCAGTTGTGTTTCAACAAGCTCTACAGATGATTCTGATGCTTGCTGATATTTGAGAACCTCAGGCTTACCATCCATGACCTGGGTGGTCCAAAACAATGTGTGAACCTTGCAGAAGACCTTCTTGCACATGTCTCACACATGAAAGGGATTGGAATAAGATGACCCAGGATGGCTAGTGATCAATGTGCGTGTAGCTCTCTGAGGCTGGTCTGGAGTATTTTCTGATACCCAGCCTAGAAATACGGTGGTGTAGCGGGCCTGTGGGTGGTTCTCGAAAAGTTTGCTGTATCAGACAATGGCAGTAAAGGAATGACTTACATAATTCATACATTAGTTAAAATTATGTAAGGGCCAAGAAGGAAAAGCATATGTGTCATCTCAGGCCCACTGGAGAGCAGACTCCGATGGATTTAGAAGTGCATGAGAAACTTTTTGTTCCTTTGTGCATTTTTGTTTTTGAGGAGAAAAGGAAGAGAGGAAGGAAGAGAGGGAAGGAGGGAGGGAAAGGGAGAAAGGGAAGAGGAGGAAAGGAAAGAAGGAAGGAGAGGAAGGAAGGGAGGGCAGAGTTTCWGTTTATGATATTGTCTTGGCCAAATAAGGGAGAAGCTGCAGAGCACAGCCCACCCTCTAAGATCTTGTGCTGGGCACCAGTGACCAGGCACCAATGTCCCCCCTGTGCTGTGATTAGTTGGGAGCTGCCCAGGAAGAATGTGGCCTTGGCTCAAGCCCCCTGGCACATCTCAGGTCCACTGAAGCTCAAGGTGTGGAGTGTTTCCTAGGAGCCAAATCAGGCCAAGGTGGCCAATGTTCAAAGAGGTAGGAGGTAGTGAAACAGGCACGGATTAGATCACACGAAGTTGCCAGCTGCGTCACCGCATTTCATCTTTCCCTTTTAAGATAAAAGAGACCATTTCTAAGGATCCAGAAATGAGGATCCTTACCCTGTTAAGTRAACGCCTACTGATCTCAAACATTCTTTCTCAGTTTTTATTACTAATGAATATCTAGCTCACTTACATTGAACCCTAAAAGTAGTAACATTGAAATTTGAATTTTGACCTTCATCAATGAACATGTGTTTAATAACCACACAAATTTGAACCTCTCTCCTTTGCAGTTGATATGTGGCCAGTATATAACATTTTCCTTATATCTTTCGAAGGTATTAGTGAGTCGATTAAGTGGGAGTTGTTTAATAGAAAATAGCTTTGACATTGTGTCTTTGTAATTCTCACCCCTGATTAGTTTGTCCAAGCTGATTCTTCTCAATGTGTAAGAACAATTCCAGTGAACAGTGTTATTTGCTTCATGGACATGTTTTAAAGAACCAGGGCAATAATCCATTTTGTGAGACTGCTTTATCACTAATAGGAACAGTTTGATAGAAAACAAAATGAACTTTGAACCCTCATAATGTGGTTGGTAGAAATGTAGATTAGTACAGTATTAATAGAAAACAGTAAACAGGTTTCTGAAAGACTTAAAAATAGATCTCCCATATGATCCAGCGTTCCCACTACTAGGTGTATATCCAAAGGAAGTGAAATCAGTTCCTTAAAGAGATATTTGCACTCCCACGTTCATTGCAGCATTATTTACAAAGGCTAAGGAATGGTAAAGAAAATGTGGTGTACATACACAGTGAAATACTATTCAGCTTTTAAAAAGAAGGAAGGAAATCCTGTAATTTGCAACAACATGGCTGAACATGGAGAACATGTTCAGTGAAAGAAGCCAGACACCAAAAAACAGATACCACACCATCTCACTAATATGTTGGATCTAAAAATGTTGAATTCATAGAGGAAGAAAGTAAAATTGTGGGTAATCAGAGACAGTAGGGGAGGAGAGGTTGGGAGATGTTGGCCATAGAATACAAAATTTTAATGAGGAGGGATAAGTTTAATATCTATTGTAGAACATGGTGACTGTGGTTAATGACAATGTTTTCTTGAAAATTGCTGAATCAATTTTAAATGTTTTCACTAAAAAAAAAAARAGGATGGTACGTATGTGAGGTAATGCATATGTTAAGTAGCTATTCCACATAATGTATGCATGTTTTAAAACATGTTGCACAGAATAAACAATTTCAATTTTTCAACTAAATTACTATTTTAAAAAAGAAAAGAAAAAATAACTTTTGTGGGATTGAACTGTACCCTCCAAAAGTTTTGTATGGTTTTGAGATAGTCATTTGGGGTGAAAAAAGAAAAAAGAAATTCTTTTGTAAAATGTATATAATAAATACTATTTAAAAGGACTAATAATTTATATGAAATAAGTTATATACSAGTACTATTAAAAGTAAAGAGCAGTTATTGGTGGTATATTAATTCGGGTAAGACAATGTAAATTTTAAGAGTTATACTACACATTAATTCTAGCAACAAAATGACCTAATWTTTCTCTACTTTTTGTAGAGTATGAGATATATAGTTTTGAATGGAATATATTAATATATATCATATATTATATGAATTCTCTGAATTCAATGATTTAATAAGTCTGCTGTACCTTTCAGTACATGGGATAATGACCTAATGATGATAAAAATAATTGCTCAAAAATAAAGTAATTATGAAAATATAGAGCTATAATAAAAATAATGTAATTTACTGGTATTTTACTTGAACTTAAAGGTAGCATGTTATTCCTTTTATGGTAATTAATATTGATCCTTATATATCTTAATCCAAATTAAAACAATATATTTTATTTTAAAATTTCATATATCAGAAGATTTGCCACTATATCAAATAAAATGGGTCCATCAATTTTCATTTGGAGTCTAATAGCCTGACATTGCTAAAAGCATCCAAAACAAACAGTAAACATAGTTAAGATTACTTGATTAGTTATTCTGATCTTTCTGAACTTAAACTTCATCACTTGAAATAAGGAATAGAAAAAGTTCTTCTTTTAATTGTAGATGTCTTTCCCCTCCTCTTTCAGGATTTTGCCTACCACTTTATAGTGTTCGTCTTCTACTTTGGAGCCTTCTTGCTGGAGGCAGCAGCCACCTCCCTGCATGATCTGCACTGCAACTCAACCATAACCTATGGCGTGCAGCCGCTCCTGAATGATAACCAGTATAACATCAACGTAGCGGCCACAGTAAGTGTTCAGTGAGTACAGTCTACCAGCTCCAGCCTCCACTCTCCAGGTCTCCAAGAAACTCCTCAGGCCACAAAAGTCTCTTTAATAATAGCCGTCATCAACTTAAACCTATAATAGGTGCTTAGCTGAACAGGGACCCTACAAACAATATACTGCTATCCCCTCAGTGTTGTAGATGATTAAACTGAAGCACACCGAGCCTGATGTTCATGCGGAAGGACAGTGAGTCAGTACTGCTGGACCTTGCACAGCACAGTCTGCTTTGTAAGAAGAATCAGTTGTGTTGTCCACTTATTTTAATTTTCAGACATCATAAGGGAGATGTGTTCCTGGCTTTGCTCTTTAGTATKCTGTAATATTTTTAATTGAAAATAACTTACCATGGACCTGTCATGTAGCAGGTAATTTGCTAGGGTTGGGGTCAGGATGAATAAGTTGCAATTCCTGCCATTGAAGAGAGTGCAGGTGAGTAGGGAAGGCAAGGATGCCATTACAGTGGATGATGGCCAAGGGAAATGTGTTCTGTCGGGAACTCTTTAAAATTTTTATCCTCTTTAATTCCTAGTATGAATTTGTCATTTTGTGTTCATATAGGGAATTTGAAGAAATGATATGTTTTTGTTTCTATAGATAATTTGTTTAGACTGTCACAAGTGGAAATTATTTCCTGAAATGCCTTGATATTGAACAGATTATATAGCAAATTTAATGACCCTAGTATTTTACTGTTTCACCCAGGAAGCCTGTAAACAACCTCATACGCACCATGTAGTCATTGAAATCTGCTTGGAARAGCACTTTATGATAGAAGTTTCTGGAGTAATAGTGCTTTTTATATGTGTGCTATCCAATAGGGTGTCCACTAGCCACGTGGTTATAGAGCAATTAAATTAGCTAGAAGGACTAACTGAATTTTTAATGTGACTTAATTTTAGTAAATTCAAATTTAAATAGCCACCTATGGCCAGTGGCTGTCCAGGTTGAACAGTTCAGGTCTAGAGTCTGAGTTTTGAGGGGTAGAGGACAGATGATTTTAAAAACTGTGATAATTTTCAAATTTGTTAGGATTTTCAAAAATTCATTAAGTGCCTACAATGAATTACACTAAAAGTAGGATTACAACAGGAAAAAGTCATGGTTCTGGATTTGAAAGGGAGACAATTTGGATGGATAATTTTAATATCTTCTTTTTTAAAAAAATAAAAACATTTTACTTAAGTCTTAAAACTTTGAAGGTGGGGGAAGTGGGCCTTGAATCTAACCCTTGCTCTGTTTCCATAAAGTCACCTCTACCCACTTCATCATCCCTGAGGGCAGAATGAAATCTTTGGAGTCCCTGTAATCCAAAGCTCGTGGTTGGAAAAACATCAGTTTTTAACAATTTCACGAAGCGAAGTTCAGGGACCAGGAGTTGACATTTTTCCTTTCTGTTAGTCCTCAGCCCCACTGGATTTTCCTTACGTGTTTCTTATTTCCAGTCCCTCCCTTTCCATGGTGTCAGCTGGATCTCACTGCCTTCTCTAGGATCATTGAGGTAGCCCCATTTTGGTCTGTCGATAGCAGCCCTAAGCTCTGACTTTGACATGAATAGTAGGATCTCAAATAGGTGAAGAGGAGCTAATGTCACCAGGGCATACCCTTGCCCTATGGGTGAGCCGTGTTTTCAGAGCTCTCCGAAGTGTAATTCTGCTCTGGCTCGGTCTTTTCTGTTACTTTGCCAGCTTTCCTTCACTTTTCTCTCTGCCTAAGAGAAGCTGCCTTAGTAAACCCACCGCATGCTTCAAGTTCTACCTAAGTCCCATTTCATCCTCACACTCCTAAGTAAATCTCTAGTTCCGGAGTGTGTATAGCACTGGCCTGTATCAGYCGCTCACTGTGGCATTTTATTGCATGCTTTTCTTTTTCTTTCAGTATATGTACCTAATGATTCCTTTTCGTTAGTAATAGATATTGAAATCAATCGTTCTCATTCAGAGGATTATGTGGAGATTAGAAATTTATGAGAAAAATAACAGAAGGAGGGTGGGAGAATAGTGGAATGGTAGTTGAATTGTGAAAATGTTCTATAGGTGAATCTGCTATTCCTTCCCAGAGCTGTGGTTTCCTGGATAAGAATCCCAGCACAAAATCATAGTATATTATCATATTGAACTGCTTTGTCCTGCAGTTTTCTAGGGATCATAATCCCCAAAAGCTGAAGACAAGATCCACTGTGTGTCTTGGTGCCCTGAATGCAGTGAGGTACACATGGTTGGTGCTGACGAAATCCTCACTGACCCCTAAGGATTCAGAGGAGGTACATCTGGTGCCTGAGGACTGTTTCCCACATAAGATAGCCAGCCCAGTGATCCTGGGTTCTCTTCATTGAGTTGTAAATAGAAAGCATTCGATGTATCCCCAGGTTTTGATACTTACTGTCTTTGTTGGCTATGAATCACTATATGAATAGATAACTCATATTGAATTTTTAATACAATTTATAAATACTTAAGAAGTAACCCCCCAAAATATAAGTGAACCCAGTAGTGAGCAAATGTCCAACATAAGGCTGTCTACTCATGAGAAAAGCACTAGGGGCTAGAATGTTTAAAAAGAAGGGGTAAGGGTGTTAAGGTTAAAACAATGGCAAGTCACCAAAAAGATTATTATAAACCATTTCATAAATGCTGAAGTATATTCAGGCAAGTCAGTCAGTCTTCAAGTCATTGCCCCTTAGGAATGCATGTTCTTAAAGTCAGTTATGAACCTGATATTAGTTTTCATTTCTTTCTCCTTAGGTTTTTGCCTTTATGACAACATTATGTTATGGTTGCAGTTTGTGTCTGGCTTTACGAAGATGGCGACCCTAACACTCCTTGGAAACTAATAGTCGTGTGTTAGTTTCATTTGTCTATTTTGTAATATGTCTGATCAATTTGTATGCTGTGTTGTCCAGATATAACAACATTCCAAATATAATCTGTTTAGTAAATAGAGAAAATCTTAAGTGCAAGTTTTGGTTTATTTCCTGGGTGGAATTTTAATTTTATTATGATATTAAGTGGAGAAATAACCTTTCATTTTATATCTCTTTACAATTAAAATTCCCATAATGTTCCTAAAATATACAGAAATCAATCATGAAAAAGTGCATCCCTTTTGTTTGCTCAGTCACCTGAACCTTAATATTAATAGATTTATAATACTCCCTAAAACTTACACATTTCAAACAGGCTTCCCAACTGAGTTCCATCTTTTAATGTAAAAGAAGAATTGGACACTTTTTCTACAAAGAACTAGATGGTCCATATTTAGGCTTCATGCATCATACAGTCTGTCTCCATCGAGACTATTTAGTTCTGCCTTTGCAGCATGATAGCAGCCATTGTCAGCATGTCAGTGAATGAATGTGGCTGTGTCCCAATAAAGCTTTGTTGACAAAAACAGGGGATAGGCTACGTTTGGCCCACAGGCTATGGTTTGTCACCCTCTGGTGAAAAACCTTAGTTATGTGTTCTGTATTTTACTGAATTGATCATGAAGGTTTATAAACCTAGTTAGACAAGCCACATGACATTTAGTCTYATTATGCAATAATCACACTGCCTTTTGTTAATGGTCAAATACTTACCCTTGGAAGGACATGTAGCTTCTCAAGCTAATTCTAACAGAGTCTTGGGTATAGGGAAAAGTAATTTGTGAAGTGAACCTTACTTGCTTAATCTAACTAATGATCTCACAGCTGAGCAAGACTCTCTCCCGAGTGTTCTTCAAACAGGATCCCCAGAGACCATTAGTGACAGCTGGAACTGGTATTCACCTACTTATGTCTTACTTTGGTTTATTTATGCTTCAGATCACAGTTGTTTGCCAGGTGCATGAATATAAAAATATTTATATATGTGAAGCTTTTTCAAATAGAGCTTTCTGAAGACTTAACTTTTTACTTCTAATTATTTTGCATTACTTTTTGAATAGAATATTAAATATAGCATAAAGTTGTAGATTTCGTGTTTTGCTAAGAGCCCAGATATCTGTGTTGTTTTTGCATTGGTGACAGACAAAATCAGTTGAAAACAATAGCACAAAAAATGAAAAAAAAATTGATATAAAAAAATTAATCTTTTAGAGACACTGGTCATGGAAACATACCAAAATGGCTTGAATGGGATTTGGGGTTAGACCATGGCTCCCACCATGCTCTCCATGCAAAGTATGTCTGTTGCCCTAAAAGGTCACCTTTGGGAACAGAGGGCTTTGGGATTGCTTTATTGTTTTAGCCCTCTGTATTCTGGCTGAATCGCCCACTAGGAGTACCATGTACACATTGGGCAATTGGATTTCATGGAACATGGAGCAACCATGAATGAGTAGCATGATCAATGCCCAGTGATCAAACACTATTTATCTGATACTCCCATAGTAAAAAGAGCCTTGTTAGAGCTTGGTTTGTGATAAAATCATAAAGATAAAAGAGATGTTTCAATATATAGCTTGAGAAAATCAGTCTTATGACTTTATGCTTTCTGTAATATCTAACTTCCTTGATTTTTCTAGGTCCATACCACACACCTAAACCTGTATTATGAATTATATATTACAAAGTCTTAAACGTGCCATAAAGATATATTGTATATTCTACTTGGAATCATTTGAAGGTAGTCTGCTAGAATTTAGTGGTAAGATTTTATTTTTTTCCCCTAAGGTATAACAGGCTATACTTGATGGCATTAAATTAAATGATTTCATTAAAATGTGTTGGTGGCACTTTTGTAAATGGACTGCTTCTAGATCTTTAAGAACCAAATCTAAAACGCCTAACTGTGAATACTTAGATTTGTAGATTAATCGCATTCTGGATGTGTGAGTTGAGTGATAAAGCACTTGAACAAAAATTATGGCATTTAAGAATTTCTTTACATAGCTGTAAAAATGAGAAAGTGTTGGTTGGTCTTAAAATCTGGTAACTCCACTATGAAAAGAAATTTATTTTATAAGTGTTATGACTCTAATAAAGTATTCATTTGATAATCTCTTTGGTCATCTATTTCTTATACTATTCACTTTGAAATTCAGTTAAAGTTTTGATATAAACTTGATAGAACTTCTAGACTCATAAGAGTTCTGTTTTAAACATTGTATGTAAAAGAATCTTTTAAAAAAGTGAGTGAATCTTTTTTCCTTGATGAGGCAAGTCTTTGGAAATAATAGTGAAAAGGAAATTCAAATGAAAATTCTACTCCATTTTATTCAAAGAACATTTATACAGTGCACTATATGTACCATGCAGTTGCTAAGCGTTTTTGTTTTTTTTAATATCAGCTTTAATCCTCATCATAACCTGAAGGGGTGGATACTATTATCTTGTTTAAAGATTAGGGTACTAAAACACACTGTAAGAAAGATTAAGGATCACATACCTACCAAGTGAGAAAATGAGATTTAAACCCCAACAGTCTGGCTTCAAAGTCAAAGCTCTTAATTTCTATCTGTGCCTCAGTTCTCCCAGAGTTTACATTCAAACATGACCCTCTTTTTCCCAAAAGAAATTTTTAGCAGAATGTTTAACATAATTGTTTGTAGTGGATGTCATCTTTTAGAACATCATTGTCATGATCAAAGCTCATGATTTCAGTTACAGGAACTTGGGCCAGACCTGCACCATGGGAAAAATGTCAGACACCTCTATTCTGCAAAGGCTCCTGAGTGCATGGCTGCCTGTTCCTGTTGTCTTAGCACCAGCATGGACCATGGGTTTCAGTAGCTTCATTACCCTGGCTTTCTAATCATTCCTGGAACTAATTTCAGAAGGAGTCTCTCTAGTCAGGTACACATGGAATTTATACATGGATAGTGAATTTTCATCTCTACACAGTCTAGAATATGGAATTCTAGTCAACATGAAAGTTTTTGTCTTTAAAATGCCATGCCTCTAGTTTGTTTCTCAGTGAGCCAGTGTTTTGGGTGACAACATAAGGTGTTCATGGAGGAAGAGATCATCTTGGGGAGGAGATCATCTTAATTATATATGTATATTTTAATGTTTTGAGAATTCAGCTTTGCAAAAGCAGCATGTTGCTTAGACTTTAATTAGGCTGTGCCCTAGCAAAATGTCAACACTAGTTTATGTGTCTGGATGACAATTCTGGAATACTGGCTTCCTCACTCTCCCTGGGTCACTGTTCATTATCACTGCAGTGAGACCTACCTTGCATCTCACACTAGCACCCCCTGTTCTCCTTTTCTTCATTTTCCTCCAAAGTGCTTATGACATGATAGCATTTTTTAAAATATTAGCTTTGATCCTCATAAATGTAGATAGGTGTAGCATAATTTATATATTTAGATTCTACCCTTCTCCACCAGATTGTAAGGCTTGTGGAGAGGAATCATCTGCTCCATTGATGGCTRTATCCCCTGGGCCTGGAATAGAACAGAGAAAATAGCATGCTCTCAGAAAATACATATTAAATTAGCAAATGAATGAATGCTAACCACCACACCTCACTTTTGAGTTTCAGCCAATATATTCTGTAAAAATTGATCTTGTTAGCACTTGAAAATGTATAGTACATAATGGCTAGGCATTTGTAGCCTAGGTCATGATATATTTAGGCTGAATTCTTCCAGGATCTTTGGTAATTAAATATATATGAGTTATAAATATGCCATATAAYCAGTTCTCTGTATCAGAGGACTTGTGAATATAAAACTTTAACATCCTATCTAAATTTATTAGATATTTATTCCCATTTTTTATCATGACTAAAGTCACTGTAGCCTCAACTAACTCAAGAAATAATTATCAGAACTAAGAATTGATTGATAAAGGTGTCACTTTTCTGTAATTGTAATGGGAATAGACTCTGGCTAATGGTTTAGATGAGAAACATTCTTCTACACCGGAAATGGGAAGAAGATATCTGCATGTGTAACATGACATTTTATTGTTTTAGCCTCCCAACTCTGAGCTGTACCCTTGGATATATGTAAGGTCAACCCTATGATGCATGTTATTATAGACCTCCCATATGCAGGTTTGATGTGTTCTAAGTGTGTCAGGTGGCCTGAGCCAGTATATAGTTTTGCTGAAGCAATGACACATCACTGAGATGAAATTTTCATGTTGTACATGTCGACATCTAAATATACCATCTTACTGAATATACCCGTATCAGAATCTTTTTTAATATGATAATCTTATTTATGTACATAGTGTCTAAGAATATCATTTGTTACTTTTATAGTTGGTCTATTGTCTTAATATTTGAGCATGAATTTCCTATTCATGTGAACTATATGAGCTAGTGTCAACTCATTTTAACTCTAGTAAAACATTTTCATTTGTAGATCACAAATATAGTTAAAAAATTTCTTTTGTCATCTTGTAATGAATCATCTTGCACATTTCTGAAAGTAAACATACTCCCATTTTGGAGGCCAGGGAAATGGAGCATTGACTAGGAGGTCATAAAAATGAATCTATCTCCTTTGCTGGTTTGATGGAAGTGTTAAATGAGATAATAAAGTGAAGTATCTAACAGAGGACTGGCAGCTATAAGTGCTGACTTCTTTAAATACCTGTGCTATGGTTTCCCAGGAAGATGACAGATACTCCATTTCTTTAAAGTGATAAAGTTGTCTCAGTCTCCCAAATTAACTGTTTGACAAATGTACTCATTTAGAACAAATTCTGAACTAATAAATATGTTCTTTCCCAAACTGACATGAATAAGTTGCCCAGTTTTGTATTATTAGTGGTTTTTTTCTTTTATTTAAGAAAGAGAATTTTTAATATTCATTTTTTAGTTTTCGGCGGACACAAGATCTTTGTTTGCATGTGGTGCTGAGGATCGAACCCGGGCCGCACGCATCCAGGCGAGCACGCTACCGCTTGAGCCACATCCCCAGCCCTATTAGTGTTTTTTTAACAGTGATACTTTCAGTGTGAATTAGAAAATTATAACTGGCAGAGAAAACACATGATTTCATGAATATATTATACTAAGGATTTGTCACGAGCCATCCATGGGTTGCATGTGGGTCACCATGCATGGGAGCCTAGCGAATAGAAACATCTGGTGTCTGAGAATGAGCAGTGGACATTTTCTCTGGTCAGTTGCCCAGGGACAGTGTGAATTTCTATCCTGCTCTTCCAYGGCCAGCAAAGCACCTGAAGTGGGTATGACCTGAGAAGATGCCAATCAACCTGCTGACTACTAGACATCACAAAGGAAGACTTCATCCTTGAAACTTTATCCATGCCTTTGATGTACCCTCTTAAACAAACCACCAGAGTCATCTTTTCTCTGTCTAGTTCCAGCCCCCATCTGGACTAGATCTATCAGGGGCTTCACTATTGTAAATACATTTCTGACTATTTGTGTTTTGTTATTCACTAATTATTTGAGAATTTAAGTTTTTAGCATGGCTTATATTCTCCTGAGCAGGAAGAAGAACCCTCTAATGAGACCCCGGTTATAGCCCCCATTAAGGATTCAAGAAGGAAGGCGTATTTCTCTTAATAGCTGCATGACTTGAAGCAAGTCTCTTGATTTACCCCAGCTTATATCGTCATTTCATCTATCACTGGGAGAGTGGGTGCTTTGGGAAGGAATAAGCCAAGATGGAGTTAGAAGGGGAAGATGTTTTTTGGAGGTTGGAACTATGGAGATAAAAATGGTGGAATACATGAGTACAAAGGGAAACTCTATCCCTGATGCAGGTCTGGCTCTTGTGAAAGGAAGAGGAGTAAGATCAGGTAGGAAGAGCCTCAGATGGTGCTATACTTCTAAAAAGTCTCATCCAGTGAACATTGAGCTCAGGCACAGACTGTCCACAGAGTCCCACACTGGCCAGAATTCATAAGCCCTGTACTGACTGT